TATCCCTGCCATTGTCTGTGATTGCATGCATTTTTATTCCATATATCATATAGTCTAATATAATTCCTTTTAATTTTATTATTATTATTATATGGGTTTTATATTAGTATTAATTGGAACTCATTTTTCCTTTATTCTATATTTAGACTACGACAGTATCGTGTGCTGCTTATCGCGTTCCAGTTCTATGTCTCGAGTGGTTTTGGTTATCTCTTCAGTTCACTTGTCTCTGTCCTTTAGAGCAACATTTCTATGTTCCCGCTACCTCTCTAGCAAATTCTGGTGATACTCTGATTTGTTCTGGAAAGACTTCAGCAATTTTACAGCAAAAAGAAGCTTCAAATTTTGTTAAACTGTCTATCTCTAAGACTCCCGATTGTGTATCTGGCCACTCGACGCCAATCATCAACTCAAGACGAGAAGCTGAAACTTTTATAAGTAGATCGGATCTGCATCCTCGTCAATTCTCCACTCCGACCGGTCAGGCCTTATGTCTAAGGCCCATTGATCCCTTTTCTGAATCTGTAAATGATCCTATAGCCGAAGGAATTTCTCTACCTCCTAACTTTCCTCCAGATGTGAGCCTATTATTTAATTATTTTATGTATTATTAAACGATAATAGTCCAGCCACACTTTCCTTCCTCACGTAACACACATATTCCCGGGAGGTCTCAACAAATCGGATGCCTCTTACTCATAACTATCGTGATCGACATTGCATATGCCCTTTCTTCATATTTATTCGTAATTATTTATTACCATTTTAATTGTATGTATTTCTTTATTCAGACTTGCCACAGCTCAGTCACTTCTAAGCCGCATTCTCCAAAAGTAAGGGCGGAAGAGTCCGTTGAAATTGATTCAATATTTGGTAAATATTTGGATTCCAACCTCAATGCTAGCACTGATGTGATACAAGTATGCTCACCATCTTCTCCACGGGTTTCGTCCAGCCCAGGTGCCCATTTTCATCAGGCCAAACGGCTTTCAGGTGGAGATCTTAGCGATATTGATGAGGGTAAAGAAAATCAGCCACCAGGACATACAGATTTAGAAGAAAGCCTTCCATCGCAGTTACACCACTCTGCAGCTGAATTTCCTTCTAATATTTCTCTAGGGAAGCTCAATAAAAGCAGGAGCTCGCTTCAGATTCGCGATAAGCGACTATCGAATGAGCGCTTTGGTAATATATCCT